ATTTTAAAGTAAGTTGTAAAATTTTTATGGTAACTGTTATTATTCATGTCCTTTCTGATAATTAAAGAATATATTTAGCACATTTTGACGTCAATATGAACTTGTTTAAGTTCAAAAACAAGACTACATTTTTTTTGTAATCAGTGTTATTTTAAAAGATATCGTATCAATTCAGTTTTTTTAATTAAAAATAACTATTTTGGCAATTCTTATTATTTTCTTTTAAATAATATGTTTTTAAGATATTATTAATATGATCAAAAAAAAAAATAGAGAAATAAACTTTTATAGTTAATAATAATAATAGAAGTCAAAAAAAGATTTCTTCTTTTCAACATAATTTAAAATTTCTGTAATGAAATTATAAAATCCTATTTAGTCTATCTCTTCAATTTCATTTAATACCACTACCATTTAACAGAGTGCGCCACATAAACATCAAGTTGAATTTCCTCGTTCATGTTTAAAGCTGTGACCTACTTTCAAGCAGGAATCCGTGCACATTCCTGCACGTGTGAATCAGGTCTGTGACGTATTTAATGACGTAGAAGCCGCCTTCGATGCACCACAGCTTCGAGCAAAAGCAGCGTATTTCAAAGACATGAAGCCGGTGGCGGTTAACTGTATTCCATCTACAAACCCAACAGGAGAAAGAGAGAAGAAATATAGTCACGCTTGGTTTCGGACACGGTTTATCGCGATGTCATTGTTGGGTTTCGCCTCAATTAGAATTTAATTGTACCGAATTCGGGTGTTTTGTCACGTTTCGATTTAGTTGGAATCTCGTGATTAACAACTTTGTAGATTGAATCGATACGAGATGATATGTATGATTTTGATAACCAGACATTTTTTAATTTGTATATCTAGATATAAATAATGAGCAAGTAAAATTTTTTTTGGTACGGATTTAAATGATCCGAGATTTTTTTTGATTATGATGTAATTTTAGGATCTTTTTTGTAAGCTTTGATAATGAATGTTTATAAGGATTTTGCTTTGTTTAATTAATTTGTTTTGGAAACGAGAGCATATCAATATTTTAAAATTAACCTTAATATAAAAGTATAAACAATCTAATGATATAATTTGTGAGGAGTTGCATCATTAGGTTGTAGATTTGAACTATTACATATTTATAAAGTATATTTGTAAGTTGTATGATGTAATTGCTTGAATTATTAACGAAGAGTTGTTTGTAAATATTATAAAAACTCAAGTTGTTTTAATTTTATTCACAACATAATAGAAAACTTTATGGTTTTTTAATGCGGCAAATATTTGCAGAATTCTTTCTACGGCAAGATAAACTTTGAATGGTACAGCATTTGTAATTCTTTCAATGTCTTACAGTTAAGTTGGCAAAGTGGTTATAAACTTGCATCACGTCTTTTTGTTATTAATTTAGAATAAACATTACCAGTTCGATTTTTATTTCTAAAGTTTGTAGCTGTATCATCAGCGGAAGAAGCAACCAATAGCTACTGGCGTCATTGCAACATTTAAACATTCGAGGTTCGCAAACTGGATGGAACAAGTACTTTGTAGGTATAGGAATACATTTGGCAGATTGTGTCAGGATCAGGGCGCTTTAGTTCAAAGTCTGTCTTCACAACGTGGACTTAGAATGCAAGAAAAAGTTTCCTTCTATAGGTACAAGTAACTATAAATAAGAACAGTAAGGGAGGAATAAAAATCTCTTATTCCTGCAAGTAAGTGTCTAACTAAATTAAAAATAAATCGTTAAATAAAATACATACCCAGAGGGTTGATTTCATCTACTCTTTTTTTGATACCAATGATGGTTTCTGTGTAAATGGGTAGGAGATGACAATTATCTAAGTTGGCAAATGAAAATCATGGTTTTTATCCAGATCTGAGGTTGTTACTAAAAAATTGATATAAATTGGAGTGGTGAAGGATTGGAATGGCGAATGGGGAAAATACACTCAGTTGATGTGCTTGACTGAGTTTTAGACGGCGTTAGAGGCTTCGAAAATGTGTTTGGAATAAATGAAGGAAAGGAAGAAATGCGTATGAAAAGTGAAGAAAATATGTGTTTTTCCAAACCAAACATGTGTTTTCTGCCAAGCTAGCTTTGTTTCAACGTGATATCAAGTTTCCTGCTGGAGAGTTGCAATACACTGGCCAGCTTTGTTCTAACCTAATATCAACTGCAGAAACTCGGGTGCAAGCAACCTCGACTTAATAATGTAAAAACCAACGTTTTCTGTTCTTAATATGGATATAGAGTCTATAGACAGTTCCTGCTGGGAAGTTGCAATATACTGGCCAGCTTTGTCCTAACATAATATTAACTGCAGAGACTTGGTTGCAAGCGACCTCTGCTTAATTGAGTAAAATCCAAAGTTTTCTGTTCTTAATTTAGCCGAGATCAATTCAAACTGAACTGTTGCAATGCTCTAACTCGTCTTGTTTTAACATGATATCAATTGCAAATTTTCGGCTGCAACTAACCTCGGCTTAATTATACAAAAACCAACGTTTTCTGTTCTTAATATAGCCATAGACAGTTCTTGTTGGGAAGTATGCGCTTGCTAGTTTTGTTCTAACATAATATCAACTGCAGAGACTCAGCTGCAAGCGACCTCTGCTTAATTAAGTAAAATCAAAAGTTTTCTGTTCTTAATTTAGCCGAAATCAATTCATGCTAGACTGCTGCAATGAGCTAACTTGTTTTGTTTTAACATGATATCAATGGCAAAGCCTCGGCTATAGTCAACCTCGGCTTAATTATGCAAAAACCAACGTTTTCTGTTCTTAGTATGTCCATAGACAGTTCTTGCTGGCAAGTTGTAATACGCTTACTAGGTTTGTTCTAACATAATATCAACTACAGAGACTCTGGTGTAAGCGACCTCTGCTTAGTTAAGTAAAATCCAAAGTATTCTGTCCTTAATTTAGAATCAAATCAATTCATGCTAGACTGTTGCAATGTGCTAACTTGTTTTAACATAATATCAACTGCAGAAACTCGGGCGCAAGTAACTTCGACTTAATTATGTAAAAACCAACGTTTTCTGTTCCTAGTAAGGCCATAGACAATTCCTGCTGAGAAGTTGCAATGCGCTTGCTAGTTTTGTTCTAACATAAAATCAACTGCAGAGACTCGGGTGCAAGCGACCTCTGCTTAGTAAAGTAAAATCCAAAGTTTTCTGTTATTAATTTATTTATTTATTAGTTGCAATGCGCTAATCAGTTTTGTTTTAACATGATATCAATTAAAGAGAATCGGCTGCAAGCAACCTCGGCTTAATTATGCAAAAACCAACGTTTTCTGTTCTTAGTTTGGCCAAAGACAGTTCCTGCTGGGAAGTTGTGATGCGCTTGCTAGTTTTGTTCTAACATAATTCCAACGGCAGAGACTCGAGTGCAAGCAACTTCGACTTAATTATGTAAAAACCAACGTTTTTTGTTCCTAGTATGGCCATAGATAATTCCTGCTGGGATGTTGCAATGCGCTTCCTAGTTTTGTTCTAACATAATGTCAACTGCAGAGACTCGGGTGCAAGCGACTTCTGCTTAGTAAAGTAAAATCCAAAGTTTTCTGTTATTAATTTAGCCGAGATCAATTCATGCTAGATTGTTGCAATGCGCTAATCAGTTTTGTCTTAATTATGCAAAAACAAACGTTTTCTGTTCCTAGTTTGACCAAAGACAGTTCCTGCTGGGGAGTTGCAATGCGTTTGCAGGTTTTGTTCTAACATATTATCAACTATTCATATCATTGCCAATTTTCTTACCATAACGGACTCTCATTACAATTTTGGATCTATGGATATAATATGTTTTTATATACTTTCAATAGTATTTACATCTGTATCTTGCAAATTTGGAGCATGCTTTCATTATGAAGCAGTTGAGTAGAATCATGTCTTTTCACTCGCAATATCAAATGATTGTCATGGACAACGTTTTTGTTGGTATTTAATGTAAAAGATGGAGCTATAATTAAATCAAAAAGTACCATCGCATTTTAACTCATTAAATTGAGTCATGTTTATGATGAAATCGCAATTTTATTGAAAATTAGTTGTAAATCGTTATTTTAGCTTAACAATAATAACGTTATAGATAAAAATATTGATTTTAATTCATAATTAATTGAATTTAAAAAGAATTGAAGGGGGTTAATAAGAATTTGTAAAAGGTTCTTCACCTTCAAGATCGTCAATCGAAATTCCTACATATTCGCGTTGCTCACCGACGACGATTTGTCAGCAACTTGTGCAATTGAATACTACGTATCCATTCATTAAAGTCGATGGTTTTGTACAAAAAATGCACATTAGACGTCGACTTGTCTGAAAATTTTATGCATATTTCGCGTTTTCTTGGGCAGTTTTTAACAGATTTAATACGTTAGAATAAAATTAATTTCATTTAATTCGAACTGGCCGAGATTATGTAATAATAAAACTTTTGATACATTCTTATACAATTACTGTGTAGACTTGATTAATTATACGTCTGGCGATTGTAATTTCTGATATTATTTCAGATTTTTAAGACTGATAAGAACTTTTTATTAAAAAATTTTTGGACATCTACAAATTTTGATTTATTAAAATGTGTAAAAGAATTTCAATTAATCTTTAATAACTTTAAAAAAAAACAATTTGTTATCTATTACTTTGTGTTGTTATTCATAAGTTAATGTGTTTTTCTATTCACTTATTTTTGTTATTTTATCGTTTTGTTCATCAATTTCACAATGTTTTAAAAGAAAATCTTTGTGAAAATAATGAAAATTTGATTGGAAGAAAACTTTTAAAGTTTAAAAGATATTTTGGATTAATTATAGGTTTAAAAAAAATTATTTTTTGTCCCATTAAGTACAAATTCGTTTGTAGCGTTTCACTTTCGAAAAGCGGCACGGCACGGGGCACCACTACACAGAGATCCAATATCTGTTCGGATGTGCAGGGCGCATGCTCCTGCGGCATAGAACGAAACAGCAGGAGCAGGACCGAGCGTACTCAGTATCACAGTTGGCTTGGGCAAGCGCACAAACCGAAGTGTGGTCCCCAAGTAATACGCTCAGTGGCCCATTTAAATTCGAAACAACGCCGCGCCGCGAACAGTTCAACATCAACAATCGTCTTCGTTCGGTGTCGAATTTAATTTCGGAGGAGAAACCCACCAGCTTTCGAAAGTGCTTCTCGCGCGCCGAAATTTTCGGGTGGAGTGAAAGTGCTGGACCCGGCAGTGAAAGTAGACAGTTTCGTGGACGTGCTTTGAATTGAATTAAAAAAAATTATTAAAGAATAAGATTTTTTAACTTCTTCGTTTGCGATGGATTCGCCACAGATGTACGATAACCAGCAGCATCATCCTCAAACAAATCCGGCAATGAATCCGGTTGATGGAAAGAAAACGGTCATCATGAATAACAACAATAATAACAACCTTACCATACTAAACAATAATACAGGCTCGAAACAAACAGCAGAACTTTTAAAAGCTCATCAGTTACAATACGAACATTCGGATATGTGCGGTTCATTAAACACAACGGAAATCTCTATGGACTTAAGAAGCATCATCGACGACTTTAGTGATATACTTCAAAATGAAGGAAAACAACTTCAAAGTCTGCATCCGAGACAAGTCATGAACAATTTATCAAATGCTTATCCCCGAGCATTACCTTACATGCCCCAACCAGTTCACAGTGGTTCAACATTTTCCGCGAATCAAAACTCAAACAGTGACTCGAACAGTTCCATTGGAAGCGATGTGCCGAGTATCAAAGAAGAACCTCTCGACCCCCAAGAATTTAGAAAACAACAATGTTTTATGCCACAAAATTACATCCCCAACTCCGGCTATCCAAATGGAAACCCAACAACCTTTACGACACTAACACCAAGCGTGCTTCACCAACAAAGTATGCACAACATGAATATGAAAAACAAAGCTATGCTTAATCATCATATACCAAGGAAATCGGTCAAACCCTGCGACAAGAATAGCGAAGAATACCGCAGAAGAAGAGAGAGGAATAACATCGCGGTGAGAAAGAGTCGGGAGAAGGCAAAGGTGCGCACGAAGGAGACTGAAGAGAAAGTTAGGGTTTTGATGAAAGAAAACGAAAGACTGCAGAAAAAAATTGAACTTTTAACGGAGGAGTTGGCGGTTTTGAGGAATCTCTTTCAAAATGTTGGACTTCCAGACCATGTACATCGAGAACTCTCAAAGTTACAACCACAACAACCCCTCATGTAAGTATTTTCGTTTTACCCTAAAAAAGTCAAAAATCAAAAATTTCCATTTTAAAATATCACAAAAATTCAAAAACAATTTTTGATTTTTTCTATTTTTTTTTTCTAGGCACGACGATAGAAACCGATTAATGGATATCGTCCACGATTACGGTCCATAGTCGAAGAAGTTTTAGATAAAATTTAGTTTAGGTATACGTGGAAGAGCTTTAACGCAGAAAAAACTCAAAAAAAAAATTACAAAAAAATACACACAAACAAATTAAAATCAAGAATCGTTGAAATTCTTCGTTAAATTATTAATGACAATCCTGGATGGACGAATCTTTTTTGTTTTATTGTTTTTTTTTTAACCGACTGGCACGTGTACCGTAGATCTCCTTTAAAAAAAATCGTCGAAGTGTTCTAAATATTTATTCGTTAATCGGGTGCGCGAACGATGTTGTCGTCGATTATTATTATTTTATTTTTATTATTATTTTTTTTTTGCTTTAACAACGGGTATTATAAATATCTATAATTATTGTATATGTACGTGTAATTTTTATTCCGTTCTACATTTGTGATCAAATAATCGTAACGTATTTAAAAATGAAAATCGATGCCTTAATAACGATAATAACGAAACCGTGAATGCAACGTGCATAGCTACTATTATAATAATTATTATACAAAAAACAGAGTACCTTCTTAAACTTAGGCTTAAATAAAAAAAATCGAGATAATTTTTACGTATTTTTTTCTTAAAAACAAAAAGTGAAACGATATCAGAGAGTGAAAGCCGAGATATATTTTTGTATCGAAAATATATCATTGTTGTGTATCTTAAATAGATTTTTATATACATATATTGTTCGTTGTAAATTTTATTTAAGTTAATTTTTTTTTTGATTTATACATAGAGCTGTAAATTGTATTATGTATATATTAAACGAGTTATATTTTTAATATATTTTCCAAAGAAAAAGCGAAAATCCCCCTTGTATAAATGTGTCTTTAAGTGGAATACATAGTGTATATTTTATACCTACTTACTTTAAAACATGTTCTTGTTTTTATTTAATAAATTTTTTTCTCTTGAATTCTTAAAAACGTTTTATTCCTTCAACATTTTCATACAACAAAATAGACCAACGAATCGCAATCATTGAATTCGGTTGGGTTGGATCGAAAAATGGGTCGCATAAATATCTATTATCATCGAACACAACTACCAATTTTTTTACTTTGCAACAATAACAATCGAAATAAACGTTAAGATGATTTATTTACTACCCAGCGAATTAAACCATTAAGAAAAAGAGAAAAGTGAAGAAGTTTGTTCGGCTTTTCGTGTAGACAGGAAGATAATATTGACACCTTATAGTAAAGGTGTTGTATGTAGAATTGTATTAGCAAACTCATCTATAAAATCATGTTGATTACAAAGATAGACCACCAGAATTTTTTAAAAGAAAACTTAAAGAATTGAACTCGAATAAATCAAGTTTGACTAAATATGTTGGAACAGATAAGAAATACTTGAAACGTTGTAATTAAGTGCATTACTTTATTGCTAAATGTGCAGGGGAGTTAGCAACTCCTTTATTCATTATCTTCAGCCGCTCCATTGAAAATTCAGTCTTTCCCTCTGAATGGAAAAAAGCCTTCATAACTCCAGTCTTTAAATCGGGTAGCAGACATTTTGTGTGCAACTATCGTCCAATTTCCCTATTATCCATTGTTTCGAAGGTCTTTGAAAAATTAATTTATGACAACTTATATAGCTATCTTCGACCTGCTATTATCTGTGGATGCTATCTACACCGATCTGACAAATACTTCACCATAACATTCTTATGGATAAGCTGAACAAGTTTAACCTATCTAACGGGCTGTCTCTATGGATTTCGTCCTATATATCTAAGAGATTTCAAGCAGTGAAAGTAAATAATTTCATATCTAGTTTTACTCCTGTTACATCTGGTGTACCTCAAGGTAGCCATCTTGGACCTATTTTATTTCTAGCCTATATAAATGATGTTTCTGAGTGCTTTCATTATTCGAATTTTTCTCTTTTCGCTGATGACTGTAAAATTTTTGCTAGCACCAGGTCTGCTTCTGACTGTATTCGGTTGCAAGATGACATTGACAGATTTGATTCTTATTGCTCACAAAATTACTTATTTCTAAATCCTGATAAGTGTTGTCAGATCACGTTCAGTAGAAAGAGATATAATGTTAACTTCAAATATATATCTTACTCAATCCTCTACAATTGAAGATCTTGGCGTTGTTTGGATTCTAGACTACTCTATCGCGATCATATTACTTCTATCGTTTCTGAAGCTACTAAGCGCCTAGGATTTATCATTAGGATTTCTCGTCCATTTACAAACGTCCGCTACATTACTTCTTTATATATGACATACGTTGCTAGCGGTTTAAATTTCGCTTCAGTAGTATGGAGTCCTGCCTATAATATTTACATCGACCTTATTGAGGGCCTACAGAGAACATTTATCCGTTATCTTGCTCACAAATTTTATCTTCCGTACTGCTCTTATTCCCAAAGATGCCAGGTGTTTGGTCTAAGATCTCTCTGTGGCCGTCGGCACAGTACGGACCTATTGTTCCTGTTCAAACTAGTTAATGGAGTTCTCGACGCTCCGGTTCTTTTAGAGCAGATTCACTTTAATGTTCCTTCTTATGCTACTCGATCACCATTTTTGTTCAGACTACCTGCTTCTGGATTTAGTGCGCATGCCGGTTCACCTCTGTTGAGACTGATGCACACTTGCAATGTTTATTGTTTCAATGTTGATTTCATTTGTAGTTCAATGATGTCGTTTAAAAAATCCGTTTTAACTTTAAGTATTTGTCATTAGTTTTTTCTTTGTAAAATTAATTTACTCGATCGAAACACATTCGTTTACCATATTTATATTGATTTCTTGCGGGTGGTGGGGCAGAAAAGAAAAGCAACATAAATTTGTCCTTTCTTATGGTCCTTATTATTCTGTTTTTCTATCCGCGTAATATCGATGATTATGTAGACCAATCCAGTCTCTGTGTTTATTTTCTTTTCTGCTTCGTGCTTGCTGATTTAATTCCATTTTTTCTTTTTTTTTTTGTATTGTTTCATGCTTTTGATAAATTTTTTAGTTTTTTTTTTGTTATTTCTTATGTAGTCTGTTTTCTTTTCTTTTATATTATTGTAGTGGACACTTTTTTGGGATTTTTTCCTGTACGTGTCCCGAATATGAATAAATAAATAAATAAAATAAATTACATATTGCTAAGACCAAAAATGCGTGTAATATAGGAGGTGTACTAATAATGTTTCATCAATCATGTTTCAAAGAAGTTTGTCGCGAAATGTTTGGAGAAGAATATGTTGTGCAAATTAACCCAGATATGCCTAAATTAAAACCACTTTACAAATCATAATAACTTTATTGAAAACTTATTTAAAGAAGCAAAACAAAGTCTTACAAACAAACCATGACAATTTGTTTTTTTTTTAAACTGGAATTTCGGGCCGTCCTACATATAGGACATTCGGCACATGAATATCTATAAACGTAAAATGATTTATTAGTGTGATACTGAACAAAACACTTCGTGTGTACACCAATGTCACATTTTGCGCATCTCGTTGTAGTTTTTTGATGGCAATAAGCACACCTAGTTTGTTTTTCTTGGGGCATAACTAAATGATCTATTCGGTCGAACCGTATATCTATTTCGTGGGACCTACTGGTATGTCCTTTTTGATATGACGATGTTTTTTTTATTCTGAACCAACAGCATTACAGCAATTCTCCTTCTAAAACTAAGTTGATCTAATTCTCCTCCATTCTTGCGATGCAAATGCCATGCGTTTTGAATTGCCATGTCAATACAGTGAGATATCAAAGGAAAATACCATTTTTTTCCTCTGATCGAAATTCGATATAAGCTGATATTTTGGTCAGAGCGGTCGACACCTCCCATATTTGTATTGTACATCTGTATAAGATGCGGCTGCTGTACCTGAATTTTCTTCTTTTCTTTTTGCGAATAACGTGTGACCGAGTGAATTGGGGCAACTCCAGAAAAATTGGAACAAACAGAAACTACACTATTATCGTGCCACTTTACTGCAATTATATTCTGTTTTACAATTTTTGCATAATCATAACTTCCTCTGCGCTGCTTCTTTATGAGTTTTGAATCTATAAGAGAAATGTCTTTTAGCCTGTTTTCTCTAACCGTACCAGTAGCATAAAAATTCTAGTCAGTTAGTTTTTCGATCAACGGAAATGACGTAAAAAAGTTATCAAAAAAGAGATGAAATTTTTTATCTGACCATTCCTTACGTAAAGCTTGCACATATTCTAAGACTACTCCAGCACCAACTCCCAATTCAAAAAAGTTTTCACTTATATTATTTGTAGAGGCTCCTTGATAAGGTTCGAACTAATTCAAGTAACCTAACCTGGTACTTCCTGCCCATAACTTATATCCATAGCGCATGGGTTTTCCTCGAATATACTGCTTACAACTATGACGTGCATAATACGGAACCATACCTTCATCAACTGAGTGCATTTCTTCAAGCGAGGAATTCTCCATGAATTTTTTATTCAACAATGTGAAAAGCGGCCTTAGTTTAGCGAATTTGTCCAACTGCTGATTGTCACAGACGTGAAGATTAGAAAACAAATACTCAAATCGGTCCCTTGTAATTGCTTCTGTAATCATGACGTTATGGCAATCTTTTTCACGTTCCCAGAACATCCTTCGTCTCGGTACTTGCATATATCCCCTAAGTATCAAAACGCCTATAAAAGCGTTTACTTCCTGCTTTTCTTTTTTCGCTTTTCTATTTTTTTGTTGTGCGTACTTATTACTCTGATTCAAAATCAATTCTATTACTTCTTCGTCAACAAAATTTGAGAAAAGCTCTAAGGGGTTTTCTGTGATCGCCGAATTCGTAGGACTATTAAAGTCGGTGGGCGGTAATTTCAAATCTTCTTTTATCCAACTGTAGTGCATCTGTCTCTTTTTAGTTTTTACTTTTTGTTTGTTTCTTGCTGCCGTGTTTTGTGATTGTAACTCTGATAGTGGTATATTGTCATCTGATGAAAAATCACTGTCATAGTTACTTTCAATTACGATTTCCACCGGCGCTTGTAACTGTGATGCCGGTAGGTTATTCACTGTAAGATCATTTTCTGCTCCAGAATCTTCATCTGTCAGGTCGGCTGCAGCGTTTACAGGAGGAAATATAGTTATGTCATCAACCTGGCTGACAATGTCGTCATTGTCCTTAAGCATAGCAAGGGCTTCATGAAGCGAAAACCCCCTGTAATTAGATGAACGTGATAGTCGTTTATTATCCTAATGTCCTATATATAGTACACCCGTCTTTCACCCCCCTAATTTATACTCTAATTTACTGAACAATGCAAAACTTTTAAATAATACTAATTATACAACTATTTATTGTTACTGTAATCAAAGAATCATAATAACATTCTAATTTCTATAATTGAAAATTACCTTACCTTTCAAAGCGAACCGGGCAATAATCCATTTCCAACTTATCTTGACTTTCGGATGCACTTAAAACAAAATCTAAAGAAAACACCTAAACTGCAAGTTATCACTCTCACTGCTACATCTAAAATGCACGACTTGATGTGACGTGCGCATTTCCAGGCGCTCATGACCTTGCAAGTTTCAACAGGAATTGACCGTCCTAAATGTAGTACATTTATTGCCAAAACCAAAAATGCGTGTAATATAGGAGAAGTACTAATAAAACTATGTTTCAAAGAAGTTTTTCGAGAACTGTTTGGAGAAGAATATGCTGTGCAAATTAATAATATTCCTATGACTGCTGAAACAGTAAGCAGACGAGTACTTAGCATTTGAAATAACCTGGAATTACAACTAATTGATAAATTGGAAGATTCACCATATTCTGCTTTACAGTTTTTGATAGCAATCGTAAAATGTTACGAAATATATATTAAAAAAAAATATAGTAATAATATAATATAATATATTAATGTGTTGCTTTTGAGTTGGAGGACATGAAAGAAGAATTATTATG